TCAGATTAGAGCTCTAGTATGCTAGCCACTGTATAAACCATAGCAGGAGACTGTCCTTACTCCCAAAAGTTTCCAATCTAAACATATAAAGTATTAGTCTCCTAATTTTCCAGATGGGGGAATGAAGCATGTGTAGATTACATTACTTGCCCAGGTTACACAGGAAATCTGTGACAGAGTCAAGAATTCAGTCATTTATATTTTAATCCAATGTTTTAACACTGGACAGTCCTTCATCTCATCTATGCAAACCACTAGAAGAGATGTATGGTGGGAACAAGCAGATGATGACTGTTGAATAGCTCAGAAAGAATCTTCAGCAGATAACTGAGATGGATATTTGCTTTACTGTGGTTTTTTCTCCCAATGGTTTTTAAATCATTATCTGAGGTTGCATCTACACGGTGCCAAATTTCAGAAAAACCTGCTCTTTTGAGACATTCCTTCTTCCTTGTAAAACAAGGTTTACAGGGATGGCAAAAGAACACATCCACTTTTCTGAAATTTTTTTGTGAAAAGCGAATGCATTCCTTGGATGCAGCTGTGCACTCTAGACGTAGCCTTAGTCTAAAATAACAGAGAAGGCTTTTATTTTAAAAAAACAAAACCCTCCAAATTATTCTGGCTGGTAGGAAAATTTCTGAAGGAACAACTTTCCCTCAGAAAATGAAGGTTTTAGGAAATATTTTGCAGAAACAGATCAATTTTGTTAAAATTTTCAATAGAAAGTTATCAAAATGCTGTTTCAAGTAGTTTAAAGTGCTTTATTTCAACTTTATCATTTCAACCTATTCTATTCTAGTCTCAGAGTAAAAAAGAAGCATTTTAATCTCATTAAACAAAACATTTTGAAAAGATATTTTGATATTTCCAAAACTAAATCTTTTGAAAATTTTGTTTCATGTGAAATTTTGAAATTTAACCTTTTTGTTTTTATTCAGTATGAAAGGAAATTTCAAAATGCTAGAATTTTCCATAGAAATGAAATTCCAAGTTTCAACAGTCTCTACAATTTACACTTTTGCCCTATTCCCTTTTCAATAAAGCAAGGGAGATTTATATTCATAATTTGAAGTACACCTTTAAACCACTGTGTTTGTGTCATTATTATGATGCAAAGTGAAACAACAACAATTCCGAGCTTTTTAAACCTATCCAATTAAAATTGCTTTTTCAAATCCTTCTTTTCAATATAGAAGTTTTCAAGAATTTAGAAAACATAAAAAGCTCCTTCATCTCACATTTTAGTATGGACTGATGATTGGTTTTTACTTTCTTTATTTCCCAAGTGATATTCAAAAAATCACTTTCTAACATTTAATCTTGCATTAAAGTCAAAATAATCAAAATTTAAAACTGAAAATATTGCCCAGTTATTAAACTACTACACATCAGAGAGTTGCAGTATGGCTAAAAGAGGCCAGAATGATGAACAAATTGTAGCTCTTTTCAGGGGATTTTTTGGGCATGTTTTATTGAGTGCTGAAGAAGAAAAGTTTCCAAATATAATGTGTATGAGTTTATGCAATACTATTTTGGGAATACATTTTTTTAAAGAAAAAAGGGGACATTAACATTTTTATAATGTGCTTGCATCCAGAACATTACAGTTGAATTTTACTAAAATATTGCATGTGAATTCTAAAAGATCTCAGTGGCTAAACAACAGACTCCTTGAAATATGTCTCTAGGAAAGTTATCACTGATAAAAAACCTACAGGCTTTGATTTTCATTTATATTCAGTCTGTGGCAGTGTAAATGGGCATTAACAACCACTTCAAGTTATGCAAATGAGAATCAAGCCAACTATGTTTCTATATTTTAAAGTCAGAATGGATTTTATGAATAGTGGCATAATATTCTGAGCTTGCAGCAGATTACATCAATGGGTATCAGAGATAAGGCCCTACAGCTGAGCCTGCTGTGTCTCCTGGCAGCCTAATGAGCATATCTGGGCTGCATCAGCTAGACCAGTAGACAGAAGGCCTTGCCTGATTGGTTGAGGAAGCTGACAGTCTTGTTTGCCTGTGTTACTGCCTGTGCCTGCTTGCTCCCAGCCTTACTCATGCTTTATTTCCCAGTCTTGCCTCAGTCCAGGTAACCCAGTGCTGACCCTCAGCTCTGGCCTCTGTTTGCTCCAGTTCCAGACATCTGACTCTAGCTCTGACCCTTGCCTCTGGCCCTCAGCTCTAATTCCTGGATTTGGCTCTGACACTGAGATTGGGAGCTTGTACTTCGAATTCAGTTCTTTGGCCCTGATTCCAACTCTGGCCCCTAATCACTGACTCCAGCTCTTGACTTCTGCACCAACCACTGGGCGTGACTGCTCATGTCCTGCTCTCTGGCAGTAGTTGTGCATCCTTGTTGGGCTATTGCAATAATGAAATCAAAACATTTTGAACGGGACAAGTAATTTGGGGCAAAATATGGCTGTAAAAGCAGAACAGAAAAGTTTGCTGAATACAAATTTTGACCAATCACTTACGTCTGAAAAGATGATTAGAAGTTGTGCACTTTAGCCTTGAATAAAGATCCCATTGTGTGTGAAGGAAAGCATATGTCTCTCTGAGCTTCTCAATGCCACATGTGCAGAGAAATTAAATTCCCTACATGTTTAGATTCTTTCAGCTACTTTATAGCTTTATTCTTTACTTTAAGTCCTTGCTGTACATTTTTGGTTTTCATTTTGGTGTTGGCAGATTGTCTATGGACACGTATACTAAAAAAAGATAGACTCCAGGTCTCCACCAAAGGCAGGTGTTATCCTGGTTGGCTCCTATATAGCATAATGCCTTTCTCCCAAAATTAAACACAATTTTTCTTTGTTCCTTTTTACTTAGAAGTCTTTTTTATGAACCCTCATAGCTCGAGGAAATATTTTCCTCGCACTCCTTGTGTTTTCATAGAATCATAGAACACTAGAACTGGAAGGTACCTCAAGAGGTCATTGAGTCCAGTCCCCTGCCCTCATGCCAGAACCCAGTACCATCTAGACCATCCCTGATAGATGTCTATCTAACTCACTCTTAAATAGCTCCAGAGGTGGAGATTCCACAATCTTTGTAGACAACTTATTCCAGCGTTTAACCACTCTGAAGTTTTTCCTAATGTCCAACCTAAACCTCCCTTGCTGCAATTTAAGCCCATTGCTTCTTGTCCTATCCTCTAAGACTAAGGAGAACAATTTTTCTCCCTCCTCCTTGTGACATACTTTTAGATACCTGAAAACTGCTATCATGTCCCCTCTCAGTCTTTTCCTTTCCAAACTAAACAAGCCCAATTCTTTCAGTCTTCCTTCATGGGTCATGTTCTCTAGACCGTTAATCATTCTTGTTGCTCTTCTCTCGACCTTCTCCAGCTTCTTCATGTCTTTCTTGAAATGTGGTGCCCAGAACTGGACACAATATTTCAGTTGAGGCCTAATCAGCACATGGAGAACTGTGGTACTAAACATGGAGGACTGTGGTACTGTCCATCTCAACCTTTCCTCCAGCATTGCTCGTCTCTGGGTTTGTACCATGCTTTGTGCCTTACACTGTCACCCTCTAGTTTCTGCTTGCTGATTCCAGATTTGGGCAGAGATTGTCTTGGGTTTTTCAGTGCATAAGTCTGCTAGAGATAGCAGCATTACCAACTCTTGCTGTTTTAGTGCCAGTCTCACCATATTTGCATTTTGCTTTAAAGTCCCAGCTGCTGGGATCAGGTGAGTACCTGAAAACCTCAACTGTCATTTCAAACAAAAAGCGAGTTTCCAACCCTCATGGCTGGGGCCAGGGGAGAACTGGTAATGTAAACTCTAAACTCTCTCACACCAGCAGACAAATCACTTTCCTCCTCCTCCTCAAAAAAAAAATTATATTTGAAATCTCATGATTGGTTTGAAAATCTTAAGATTTTGGGGTAAGCTGATTCATGTTCCTTGAATGTAAAATATCTGTTGGCAAAACAGATCACTGATAGGATCTGTAGCATTCAAGGTTGTTGCTGATTTTGTTTCATTCTTCACAGTGTCTCCCATATTGATGTTTTAGGTACCTGTCTAGCATCTCAAGCATTTGTTTGTTTTGGAAGTTTTGTTTTTGTTTTCCACTGGTCAGCTGGATAGCATTACTTGGCCCAGGAACTAATAATATATAGGAATGGGTCATGCTTCCATTAGGATTTAATTTTTCATCCTCCCATTTCTGCTTGGATTGATATGGCACTAGATGTAGAATAATCTTTCCTGTATGTTTACAATGATGGTGAAGAGCATGCGCTTATTTCTCTTTCATTACGATTAATTGCTCTCTCCTTTGAGTCTAAGCCACCAATATGAAGATGAAATCAGAATGAAACCAAAGAGAAATGCAAAAGCATAGTCAGAGCTTGTGATATTTCCTAAGAAAATAAGCTTCCAAAGGAAACAAGTAAGGATCATAGCTGCAGCAGTCACTGGTACTTTTATTAAATCATATGAGGACTTTCTCTTGCATATGAATGCACACACATGCACATTCTTAGGGTATGTCTATCCTGATAAAAAGAACCCACAGCAGCAAGCCACAAATCCCAGGAAATCTGACTTGGGCTCAGGCCTGCTTAGGCAAAAGGAGCAATTGTTCTGGGGCCCAGTGATTCAGAAGAGCCCAAGGCTCCCAGTTGCTACTGTCGCAGCAGCAGCCAGAGCCATGGGCCCTTTAAATCATCACTGGAGTGCCACATAATGTACTCCAGGCAGCTTGGAGAGCTACTGAGGGGGGTGGTGCAGTGCGCAATGAGAGGTGCTGAGGGCTGACTGCCTTCCGCCCTGCCCTTTCCAGAAGAGTTGAGCTGCCCCCTCCTCCACCTTGCCCAGGGGTCTACTAGATAGTCTGGTAGTCCCCCTGCTTGGGCTGGTGGGGATTGCACTATGGGTTTAAAAATAGCAGTGCAGTGGGCTGGAGACAAGTCCTTATGGGAGCTTTGCTTTTAACATCCCAACTAACTCCTATCTCATCTTCTCTTCAGTACACATCAACTTTATCCTCCCACGCTCAAACTGAAACTCCAAAAATCCATTATGGGGAAGACAAAAAAATCATATTGACATGTACAGTACTTGCAGACTGGGGTAAGTAGTTCAGGCAGAGATGATCTGTGCTGATGGATATAGTCGATTTTTGGCTTAATTATCATCTGCAGATCTTGCTATCGATTAAGCAAATGGAGAGAATAGAGAGTCTTGGGTTAATAAAGTCTTGTCTCGAAATTCAAAAGATATGGATTGAATTTCCAGCTTTGCTGCCAATTTCACGTGTTACCTTGGGCAATTCCTTTAATCTCTCTGTGCCTTAGCTTCCCATCTGGAAAAATGGGAATAGAAAATCTTCCTTTATTGCCTATTTGGATAAAGACCTTCAGGTCTAAAATTGCCCTGTAATATGTGTGTAAAGCACCTAGCACCTTAGGAGTCTCTCAGTGTTACTGTTATCTAAATAACAATTAATTTTTAAATGGAAACAGATCAATGGTAAGAAATGGATGTATAATGCACTGCCTACACTTCCAAAGGTGATTGCATGTTTTGAATAAATCCAATGTTGACTCTCCAAGTGGAGTAAATGCTCACCGTAGCCCCTTCCTCACACAAGAAATTTCCTATAATAATCTTCTGTTTTGAAAATTCAGATTAGATCCTCCTTTTGCATGACTCTTGCATTTGATTGCAGCAGCTGCAGCACAGACTGCTCATAGCTACAGGCAAGCTGAAATGGCTGCCAGTGGTGTAGGGCAACCACAAAGCAAACGACTAAGAGTAAAGTGAAACCTTTGTGATGTTATTGGATTTTTGTTGTGAACATTGTCACACCCATTGTTTTGTGTTTGCCCAAATTTTATACACTGGGGGCCAAGTGAGATGTCTATTGAAAGCTGATGCTTTGCTGATTCTATTTATTCTATTTGTGTGCATGTGTGATTTTTGTAATTCAAGTTATGAGCATTGGCTATGTGCTCGTATTTCAAGTATTTGCTTCTGAGAGATATCAACAGGCCTCACCCACTGATTGTGGAAGGGTAGCTAGTCAAATGAATCAAAGTACTTGACTGAAATGGATCTTTGCTGGTGTATTCTACATCTAAAGAATATTGCTGTAAACCTGCAGATTAGCAGGTAAGCAATGGCCACTAAGGACTGAATCATACATGGACTGGGGACTTGCTCATGTGACAAACTCCATTTTGGGGAGGTACTTTCACACAGCGAAAACATGTAATCTTATAATCTTATGGACAAGATTAGAAAAATGGCCCTAGAGGTTTCTCCATCTTTGTCTTCACTCCAGCTTATCATTTTGGAAGCAGCTATGCTATGAACTGGGCCTGGATGGACTTATGACCCATCCAAACAAAGGATGTATTCTGGAGACTTTTAAGCTAATAGCTTATCCCATTTCTGCTACAGGCCTGCACCCGAAACTTTGTAATTGGTGCATGTAATTTTGTTTCCTTTAGCAATTTTGCTCTCAACCTTTTCTTTCTTTGTTTTATTAATACATTGTTAGATTTTAGTTTCTAAAGGACTGACACAGTATGCTCTTTAGAGTATGATCCTAGATGTGGCTGGTCCTTTGGGATCAGAAGAATCTGTTTGGATATGGTGAGATTGGTTTTCATAACCTCTCATCTGTATAAGATGTGGTGCTTGTTGTGGCACAGAAAAAGCTGGTGTTTCTAAGGGGGGTGCTTGGTGTGACTTCTTGCTGGCCAATGTAGCAAACAGAAGTACTCTTGGTGACTGGTTTGGTGTGCCTTGTAGAGAAGGACCCCCAGTCTTGGGCTGTCAGTATCCTTTGCTTTTAAGCAATTCACCCTGATTTGACTTCTCAATGGTGCCCCCAAAACCTGTTATAGTAAATCTTATTTAAATGAACTGATCCAGGCAAGTGCAGAGAAACTCAAACTACCTGAACCATAATCAACATAAAATTGGGCCTGTGTGATAACATCAGTGTCCATCTGCTAAGTGAACACAGACATTCTCATATTTATAGGTCCCTTTACATTTTTGGTGAACTGCAAGCGTGCTTCCTTTCCCAGATTCACAGGTATTCCTCCCATTTACAGATGAGGAGGTGAGGTCAGGGACTTGGTATACAGACTGCACTCTGTGATGTTATTGCAAGTCAAGATGAAGGATGGACTTGTGGCCTGGTTCTCAGGAAACATTGGTTGCATTCTAAGTTCTGCCACAGATTTCCTATGCAACTTTGGACAAGTTATTCAATTCCACCATTCACAATCAATAAAATGGGGATTGTTGAAAATTAGAGAATGTTTTTGAGACTAAATTCACTCATATTGTGAGGCATTCTGTTGTTAGTGTTCCAGGCTATCTAACAACCTAAATAGTTGGATATCAAAATTAGCGTCAGACCAACATAGGAAAATCCACATATTTACTTGGCTTTTTAAAAAGACCCTCTAATGTACTGAACTCTGGTGTCATTTTCACATGTTGACCTTTTTACCCACGGCAGAGGCATTCTCATTTTAAACATAAAAACACTAAGTGAAATTCCAATCAAGCTGTCAGGCTTCATTTTAATTCTCAGACTGTCCATGTGCAAAAGGGAGAGAGAATCATACTTCAAACTGATTCTCCTGAATAGAGGGAGAGACAGAGTTACATGCTGTGCTGATATATTAATTATCCATTTATAATAAATAATCTTTTCAACTTCTGTCATGTTAAAATCAACAAAGAATTTAGCTGAAGACAGCCATAAAATGAACTGATTATGGCTTGCTAACAACAGTGATGAAAGAGCAAATGCACACCACTATGTAAATAGGAAATATAACACAGGAAAATAGGAAAGCACAGCCACCAGGATAACAGCAGGTAATTTCTGGGCTCTCCAGCTTTCCCACCAACTCACTCTGATATTCTCTTTCTTCTCAAACTGGCACATTTTTGGCATGTGAGAGGGAATGGGGGAGAAGTCAGCCAAAAGTTAGCTTCTACTGAAAGATATTGCACAGAGCAATGGAAGAATGAGGGCTATACCATTAATATCACACTCATATCCTCATTGATGAACTGTATTCCACATGCATATATGATGTGAGAACTCAACAACTAGTAGCTATTCAAATATGCTGGGTTTGGACATTGTTTCCTAGGCACATGTACACAATTAGTTCTAAAATTAATTATCATAAAAACATTTTTGTGTCAAAAATAGGGAAGGGGTACAAATGTATCCCAAATGTGTTGCACTCTTGTCCCATATAATTAGGAGGACTATGTATACATTTGTTTCTAGTGAGAGTATCTTGTATTTTAATAGTATTAATTATCCCTTACTAAACAAACTGGGTTTTATTGCATAAATGTAATAGATATATGCTAATTAATGCATTTTGGGGACCATGTAATGTACAGGCATATATGTTGTGATCACTCATAAACGAGTCTCGGAGGGGTAGCCATGTTAGTCTGTATCTGCAAAAACAATGTGGAGTCCTGTGGTACCTTAAAGACTGAGGGTATGTCTACACTACCCCGCTAGTTCGAACTAGTGGGGTAATGTAGGCATACCGCACTTGCAAATGAAGCCCGGGATTTGAATTTCCCGGGATTCATTTGCATAAGCGGGGAGCCGCCATTTTT